AAAAAATGAAAGATATTTTGGTCCAACAAAAGGTTTCAAAAACCATTGAAGGTAATTTTTCAGTTAATTTTCCAAAAGAACAAAAAGAAGAAGCTGATGAACTTGCTTATACCTCAATCATTTTACACATGTCTGACGCTATTTGAGAAAAGTAGAAAATTAAAAATCACAAAAGATATTTGGAAAAAGTTGGAAGATCTGTATTTACTTAAATTCACTCCCAATAAACTTTATTTTCTTGAGCGTTTCTTCAATTTTAAAATGGATCCTTCAAAGGATCTTGATCACAATCTGGATATTTTCAATAAATTTGTTCAAGATATTGTTAACTGTGAAGAAATCGTATCTGAAACATATAAGGCTATTATCTTACTTAATTTCATGCTTGAGTCATATAAGGAAGTTAAAAATGTTATTAAGTATGGTATGGATACGTTGACCCCCAAGATTGTCATAGACCCACTTAGGAGTAAAGATATGGAAATTAAAGTTGAAATGAAGATAAGAGGAGTGGTGACTTACACATCATAAGGAGTAGGATGAAGTTTAAGCAAATGAATTTGAGTAGAGCTCAAAATAGTGGTGATTCGAGTAGTGACTCAAGTGATGAAAGTGGTAAGATGAACAGCAAGGTACAGGACAAGTCTAGTGGCAGGCGATTTTATAGTTGTAGTAAAATTGGACACTTTATTAGGAATTGTCCCAAGAAGAAGGATAAACAGAAGGGTTATGTGAGAGGTGAAACGAATGTGGTTAAGGGGTCGAGCTATAACCCCAGTGAGGTTTATTGAGAGAGTAAACCTAGTCACTACATATGCATCTGTGTGTGATCCTTTCTGCATGTGTGTGATTGCCTAATTTGTTGCATGATTATATGTTGTACTTCAATTTGTTTGATATGTATGTTTGCATAAATTTGAGGTAATGTGATTTCTTGGTGTAATCGTTTGCATGCATAGTGGGTTAGGATGCATTAACAATGTGTTATATATCTTTTGGTAAGGTGGAGTATAGATGCCTAGGGGTACATGATATTTTGTACCGGGGGATGTAGAATGTGACATTTGGATCACGAGTGAAGATGTGATCAAATGTGTAGAATCATTTATCTGTGAAAGAGACCCTGTACAGGTAGAGTGTGAAAAATGCACTTCTATCACTTTTGTAAGGTGAAGGCCCATTATCCACGTAGGTTGGGAGAAATGATGTGGTGATAGAGGATTATCCCGTGAACTTAGGATCTATTGTGATTTGCAAGTTAGACATGAGTTGAGTGATCTATTTAGTGAGCATGATAGGCGATGAGAGGAAATATGTGTTCTCAAGGTGGGAGTAACACGAAATGGGATAGGATAGATGTAGTGAGATCTTTTGTGGGGTCATTTATGTATGTGTTGCACATGTGTTTGATTGTGTGCTGATTAACTTGGTGTAAATCGGTGGTTCTATGTGAACATATTTTTTGGAAAGATCTATATAGTATCTTATATAATATCTTCATTGCATAATTAGTTGTTCACTGTGATACTTGTTTCTACTTGGGTATTTCTTGACCTTAGCCTCAGTGACTACATGGAGCACGTATGGTATGTGTTTTTCGGTTCGAAATATGAGGTAAGGTTTGTGAGCTCAATTTTATTGGATTACTTTGATTTTACAAGTATAAATTGTGTGTTTTGATTGCTTACAAGTTATTGGGCATCAAGGTGGAGATTGTTGGGTTTTGATACTCAAAACTCCCCGGGTTATGATATAAAATCGGTTTTAATTTTCAGTCGGCTTGGACCAAATTACTGAACAAAATGTCAATGCCACTATTAGAACGACCCAACCCCAAATTTTATGGACCACTAGAAGTTACCTAATTTAATAGTGTTGCTCATAGCTCGTTTCACCTTTTACTTGGACGGCTTTATGTTGTTACCCAGTTTGGAGCCCATTAACTTGAGCGTTGGGCCTTTGGGCCTTGACCTTAACCTAAACCTAACTTACCATTTTGGGCTCTTTACTTGGGCTATATACTTGTCTCTTTGTTGCCTCCGATGAAGAAGGACTGCAGCCTCTATTCTTTCTTCCCGTTTTCTCTGTGATTCTATTCGATTGCTCTTCACCCGTGATACCTTTGTGGTCATTTCCTGTGTGGAATTAGTACATCTTGGTGAGCTCTTTGTGGGCAACTAAAGCAACCGTGAAAGGAAGAAACCGTTTGGGTCAATTGGGCTTGAGTTCGATAATGGTGTTGATATTGGTGATTAAACTGAGCCCAAAAAAACCTTACATAAGGTGGATTTCATCCCTACAAATATGATAAATGAATTTTATGCTTGAAAATCTCGTGAATACAGCTGCGGTAGATTGTCATAATTTGACTTTTTCTGTCACCTATATGAATTTTGTTAGTACATTGACCTTTTTATTGAAAAAAAAATTCAGGCCCCAAACATTATTCCAGGTCCGAACTCAGTCCTATGAATCTGCAAACTAGCATTCAGGAAAAGTTACACAGTAAAATCTCACACTCACACACTGAGTGAAGAAGGATGTTATATTTGGTAGGATTGGGGTTAGGGGATGGAAAAGACATTACGCTGAAAGGTATTGAGAAGGTCAAAAAATGCAGCAAAGTGTATATGGAGGCCTACACTTCTCTGCTCTCCTTTTGCGCCTCTGCCACTGGCAATTCCACTTTGTTGGGTTACGAGTTAATACTTCAATTTTTGATTGAGTGCAAGTTTCATAAAGTTTGAACCTTTATTTTGATATTATACAGGAAAACCTTTATGGGAAATCAACTATAATTGCTGATAGGGAAAAGAGAGATGATATGCTCTTAGAAACTCGAGAGATGTTGTATACACTCTAGTGTACAACCCTCTCATATGAGAGGGGGTTCACGAATTTTTTAATCATTGTGGGTCTCCTCTTATGTGAGAGTAGTATACAAGCATCATTATTCCAGAAGCTTAGTTTTCGGATGTGGTCTTTTTCGTCGGGGACCCTAATTTTGACTTCTCTATATTTATTTTTCATTTTAGTTTCCCAATATTTTTCTTAATGAGTTTATTATTTTTACCGTACATTTAAGAGAATGATTTTGAAAAGTGTGTTAGTGTGATTATGTTGATGTTAACAATGAATTCTTTTAATAGGAAATCCTTAATTTGGTTCGATACAATGTGAAATCTGGGTAATCGATTTTAGCTTTTTACACCATAAACACTTTTGTTTTTTTGTTTTTTAATCTAAAACAATGCATCTTTTACAATCGCCTGGAAAAAAAAAAGTGTATAAATTAAGTGCTTTTTTTGGATAGGTTTAAAATTTGTTAAAAAGTTGAAGTCAAAATTCAGAATTAATTTTAACTACACATTTCATATGTCTTCACATTTTATATTTTATTTTTGTGGGCGTGTGACTTGCTTCAGAGTCTTAGCTCCCGTTTGTTTCTTATTTTTGGAAAAATGAGAATGAAAAATATAGTTGTTATAGGCTCCATACAAGAGATAGAAATTCAATCATTTTAATGAATAAATAATGAGAATTAAACAGGTGGCTTAATTGGGACATTAACCATTTTCTTTCTTTTGTGAACAATGAGGATGATTCTATCATTTTCATGCCCGTTCAATGTTCAAGTTTGAAAAAGAATGTATTAGAAAATCGAATAAACAAACATTTAGAATGATAATGCTAAAAAAGGGTTTATGTGGCTTTTGTAACATCAGTTCTTCACTAAGCAAATTGATAATTAAAGAAGAATACTCTTGGGAAGGCTTTATTTCTCTTTCTAACTATTGTTTATTTGACTTTTGTAGATTTTACGTTTTTGGATTTTATTATTGTTGTGCACCAAATAGACTGTATATACTGATTTTTTTTTTAATTTTTAATTTTATGCGATTCGTGTTTCTTAATTTTAAGTTTTTCTATTCCGTTTACCTTTTTCTAATAGGAGACAACAAAAGAATTTAAAATAGGGGAAATTTATTGTATTGAAAAATTTTATCCTCCTTTTGGAACACAATTTGAAGTTTCATTGATAATGTAGAAACTAGTTTATAGTTGCATTTGCACATTAAAATTTAAAAATATTTTCTGAGTGGAAAATACTAAATAATAATCACAGAGCTTTAGCTTGTGCTGATCATCGCATACTTTCTGACTTGCAGCATAGAATGAAGATACTACTTGTGTTGGTATGGCTGTGAAGATCGGGTGATAGTTTCTGGTTTGATGAAGCAAACTTTTGACATTAGATTTTGGACCTCCTTTGCATTGCCTAGTCATAGTAGACTATGTTCAGCCAGTGGAAGAAGAAATGCTAGAATTTTTTGAAAAGTTCATATCATACTTTTTAGTGCATATTTGATTCTGATTTTTGACCCCCAAAAATTAAATTTTTTACCGTTACTCTCCTAAGTTAACCGTTATATTTTACTTCTTCTTTCACAAGTGGAACCCTTCTCTTTAACGATCAAAAAATGAATTCTTATAGTCAATACCGAACAAGTCATTAATTTGTTATTGTCTGCTTTGGTGCTACAGTATAATACAAGTTATAATTATCTGATTTTATGCTAGAAATTGGATTCGATCTGGATTTTAACGTCATGCATCCCTTGGACAATTTGTTGCTATTATCATTGTTTATGGTAGATTTTTTTTTTTTTTTTTTTCCAAACCAAAAAGGCAGTAAGCCCTTATTTGATCCTCATTTTTTTCAAAATACATTTTTTCTCTCTCATTTTTAACCACACATTCTTCAAAAAAAAATAATATTATCTGCAAACCCAAAACATTTTTTTTTTTAACCACACATTCTCTATCAATTTACTATTCCAAAATGCATTCTTAGAAAATGATGTGACTCAAACAGACTATAAATATATGATATATCCAAGGAAATGCGCATGATAATTTAAAAACCAATAGAGAAAGCACTGTATTTGGTCCTCACTTCTAGCATCAATTCATTAATTATAGCTCTTTAAGTTCAAATAAAAATTTATAAATGTAGCTATTGATAACCAAACTCCACAGGGCCGCATGAGCAACTGAAAGTGGGATACCTGATGATGAAGTGTTTTCTGTAATTAAAAAACGAAACTGTATTTACATTAAGGATTTCAGCAATCTGATGTAATCTTGATGTACTATATTCACGCTTCAAGCAATCCTCAAAACACAGTCCTTTCCATATAGTCATGGACGAAAAGATTTTGTACATCTACCATAAAGTTATCCCCTAAGTGAAAATCTTCAAAGCAAATACTAGAATGCAGTTCTTAATGGGGTATAATTGCCATACTTGCTCTGCAATTTGCCCTGCAACCATGTCACCCGAACATAGTTTCTCTTGAGAGAAAGGAATGTCTCCCTGAAACTAGGATTCTCAAAGAGATCCAAGGCAGCATAATACAGGTGGTCTTCAATGCCTTCTATCTCATCCAATGCTTTTACGCAGTTAGTAATCGTGAATTTTCTATCAATCTGAGGCATTGTAACTGTTCGCAGCCTTGACGAAGCAATCATCTCTGTAAAAGCTTTTGCCATTCCATCACTTAATTCTTGATTCCAGTTATTTTGCACAGGCACAGAGACCAATTCTGAAGGGCGCTTTCTCTTTTTATCTGCTGTGTTCGTTTTTTGTGGTGAAGATTCATTCTCATGAGCATTTTTTGACAAGGATGGAGTTTTAAGATGTGGGTTCCCACCTTCTGTACCTGGGAGATCAGTCCCACCGATCTTGCCCAGTTCTTCATAGTGGCTTGATTGAGCATACTTGCCATCCACCCCCGAATCTGCAAATATTGTGCATAGTTGCTCGTAAATAGCACAATCCTTGGCTTTCGATTGTTCAATCTTTGATTGTACCTGTATGCATAAAATGTTTTATGACGATATTATGTAGCTTAGCACATAAATATATATACATGCATGGAGCTGTATGTACATAGGAGAGCGACAGGGATGAGAGATACCCCAAAGTCATCCCATAAATCAAAACCCAAGTAGCAGGGATCCTGCACTGCATCATTTTGGTTAACAACAGATTGCAGATTGTGATAACGGGTCCTAAGAACATCTAGATGTTTCCTCAATTGATTGTTATTGAAATTGAGATTGGTCTGTCTGTTAAATTCCTCACGGATCTGGTTCCATGTTTTCTTGTCAAAAACATTATTTGCCCTGTTCCCAATCTGAATATGCTCTGCCACTATGTCTGCAAAAATCTTATCAAGGGCTGCTGTCCATCTCGTCCTCAAACGCTCTTGCTTGGGCTGCTGGTCTATAGCTTCAGTATCCATCTAGAAAAGCATTTCAAATAATCAAAAATATCATGATATTCAGCTAAGTGCAAAAATTCCTCAAAGAACAGCCAGTCTTTTCAGCTGGTAAATATAAAAGACAAACTTACCCTGGGTTGATTTTCACCCAAGTATTCGCATATACGATCAAATTGCAGGTTCTGCTCTTCTGCAAGTGTGTGCCACATCACACTATAACAGTGGCCAAAATTTCCAATTGAGAAAAGGATATAACAAATTAACAAGTACAGTGGAACTTCCACATCCAAGAAAAAAAAAAATCAGTTTTCTCACAAAGCATTTTACAACTTCCAAGCCATCATTAACAGGCCAGTGAAGTGATTGCACATTGCATTTTACAGCTGTTCTAAGAACCAAAAATGAATAATTTAATCACGCCACAATCTTATAGTAAAACACAATCCTAACCACAACTGTACCAAAAAATGAGAAAAAAGAGAAATTTCCAGAAGTTACAATTTTCTTAAACAGTGATCCAGAGGATGAGTCGTGATTTTACTTAACAACACATTGTCCCAATCACCATATCAAGAATACGAGCCATCAGTCATCAAACTTCCATTGCATACCAAACCCTAAATTACAGTCCAGAATTTTTAAACGCTTAATTAACAGTAATAAATCACACAGAAGACTAGCAATTAAACATCCATACCGCAATCAATTATAATCGAAAGCATTGACAAAACAGATACACCAACCAAATAAAAAAAGTAAACTGTTAATGCATATATAAGGCAGAAAAGGCACCTGATCGGAAAAAAAAGGATCGGAATCCGCCGGACAGTGAGAATTCCGTCCAACGGCGACTAAGCAACAGGTATTGAATTTGTGATTTTAGGTTATTTTTTTTGCATACTTACTTTTACACACATTCACATAATAAAATATTCTGTACATAAATTTAAATTTTTTTTCTTTTTTACTTTCTATCACATACTTTTCTAAAAATCACTATTCAAAACGTTATTTTTCCCAAATAATAATGAAGGGTAATAAGCACATAACGTCCTCACCATTCACTATTAATGTGGAAAACGTCATTACCTTTCAAATTTCGATGTTTTCACCTTTATTTCCACCTTTCATTCCGAAAAATGTCATTTTCATCCATTTTCACAATTAAAAAGCTATGAAATGATGAATACACCCTTCTATTTAAATAAAACAAAAAGAAAATAAAGAACTGATTACAATCATAATTCCAAATTTTTCAAAAAAATGCAAATGAGTTCCAAATAAATTAATAAAAGGATAATTAGTACATAATGTCCCTACCTTTCACTATTATTGTGATAAAGTCCATACCTTTCATTTTTGGTATTTTTCCCCTTAATTACACATTTAGTTGTGCAAACCATCCTTTCTATTCATTTTCATTCAATTTCTCAATTAAAAAAAATTGTGAAATTATGAATATACCCTCCTAATTAAATAAAAAAGAAAAATAAAGAACTAATTGCAGCCATAGTCCCAAATTTTTTTAAAATGTAAAACGAGTTTCAAATATATTATTTTAAAAAAAAAAAGTGTAAATGAGTCCCAAATAAATTATTAAATATTATTAATTAATTTTAAAAAAAGTGCAAAAGAGTTCCAAATAAATTATTAAAAAATTAGAAATTAAAAAAGTAAAATTATTTATTTATTTATTTTAAATGGTAGAGCATATTCATCAATTTACAATTTTTATTGAGAAATTAGATAAAATGGATAGAAATGATGATTTGCACAATTAAAGGTGTAACTAGGGGTAAAAATGACAAAAAATGAAAGTTAATGACTTTTTCACAATAATAATAAAATGTAGGGACATTATTTGCTAATTACACTTCTGAAAATTTAATTTGAGACTCGCTTACACTTTTAAAAAAAATAAAAAATGGGGACTATGGTTACAATAAGTTCGCCTTTTTTCTTTTTGTTTTATTTAAATAGAAGGGTATATTCATTATTTCACAACTTTTTTATTGAGAAAATAGATGAAAATGACTTTTGTGCAATAAAATATGGAAATAACGGTGAGAATGCTAAAAAAATTGAAATGTAATGACATTTTCCACAATAATAATTAAAGGTAAAGACGTTATTTGCTAACTACCCTAATAATGAAGGGCGCTTAAAAATTTCATTATTTAAACAATGTTACTATTTTATCTAATTTTTAAAAAATACAATCATAATAAGATTTTTTCTCTTTGCATGTGTTACTATTATATTTGGATATGGTAACTTAAACTCATAAAATTTACGAGGAATTTGTAAAAATAGAACCACAGGGTGTTAAAAAACGCAGTTACGCCCTTTTTCTAGTATCAGATGGATGGGTGTCCCTCCATCCATAATTTTTATATTCATGCGCCCAATATTGCAACCATAAAAATCTGAACCGACGAGGCAGAAGAAAAAGCATCATCGTCCTAGAAATTGTCGCTGCTTTATTCTGTCCAACCAACTGCATTTTTGTTTCAAAACCTCCAAATTCTTGTATATTTTATCATTTCCTTTTAAACTTTTGATTCAAAACCTTGTAGGTTGCATGTTAAGGCATTTTCCATTTTTTTTTACCGATTCTCGAAAATTTCAAGGAAAATGGGAAAAAAATCATGGTGCAAAAGATGTTGTGGATGGTGTCTGTTGACCTTCGAAAATAGTCAACAGGTGTCGTTGAAGGACAATGCACACGTGGACGTGCTTCATAGTGTATTAACTGAAAAATAGATATTATTGTAGAAGAAGATGAATAGTAGGCAATGGAAGTATTGTATTTCCCTCTTTGTATTATTTTTTTCAGATCTTTTAATTGATACAAATATTGCCTATTTATAATGTTTAGGCAAACGTAGTCATCGTTGGATTGGATCCACATAGCCTAATTTGCCAACTCTAACTATTACATCAATTCTATTACACATTAATTATATTGATAGATTTTTGACAAGAGGTCAACCACTCTATAAACTAGGTTGACATTGTTGACACTCATTAACTGCACACGTCACGTCAGTCAACTCTGAAGACGTGCTTGTCCGACCCTCTTCAGGTTGTAAAGGACTTCGGATGGTAGAGGGTGAGTCACTTCGATAGAACTTAGTGCAACGACCTCGACACTTTATTTGACATCTTCAGACGTTAGTCCCTTCTGCACCAATTCTTTGGTGCTTGCCATATGTATGAATGTGAGATCTCCATGTGAACCATTTTGTATTGATTAATAACAATGTCTGTTGTTTGTTGTGTTAGCAACAATCGCATTTTGACTTTTCATTGCTCTAAAATTGAAAAATCAAAAGTCTGATTCAAATGAATCTCCTGTTATTGGTTCTGTTGCGTAGAAATATGCACATGCTCTTAAAATTGCAATGCAATTTTTTGACATACAAAAATGTATAATCTCTCATTCTCTTATGATGTTTATTCATATCTTATGCATGTGATATGATGTCAATTCTTTTGTGTTTAGTTAATGTGATGCAGAATTATTCATATTGCAGTTGGAAAATTGGTGGACAATAAAATATCACGTAGAGGGAATTCAGCATTAAAAAGATAGAAGTCAAGCAAAATTCGATCTTTCTAAAGGGATGTATGATGCAGGAGATCATATGAAGTTTGGATTTCCGTTGGCCTTCACTGCAATCGTGCTGTCATAGAGCATCCTCGAGTATAATGATCAAATGAAGGCAGTGAATCAAATGGAATCGGCTCAGGACTCACTCAAATGGATAATTGATTATTTGATAAATGCTCACCCTTCTGAAAATGTTCTTGACATTCAGTTCAGTCCAATCTTATTACACTCTTTGGGATGTTATTACATTATAGTCTAAAAATATCTTTCTTGGAAAATCAATGTTTTTCATGTTCTTCAAAAAGTTCAGGAAAATATGCTTTTTGTTATGATTAGGTTCGAATGATTAGACAATTTAACCAACAACATAGACAGAAAATTGAAAGAACATTAACTAGAAAATGAACTCCAATAAAATTTTGCATTAAGGCAATAAAACCATAAAGCCCTTCAAAGTTTCGTCGCCGAAGGGAATTCCTATATGAAAAAGGAACTAAAGTGTCCAAAATGCAGATATGAGCACCCAAATAGTAATCACTCAATATTATAGTGAAATCTGCCTTTCAACCACTACAATCTCTCACCGAAGAACATCACAACACTTTTAAATATATAGATCACTCAAGAAATGCTTTACATCGAGAAAGTACAAAAAACGAAACACTTTTAGATTTTAGAAAGAGAAAGAGATGAAGAACTCAAGAGCCAGACAGAGAAAAATCGAATGAATCGAATATGTTCAACCTTAGGAATGGAAAATATATTGAAGTGACTGGAAGGTCAACCAATCCAATGGTTGGTAGGGTTGACACTTTGTAACATCTCGAGCTTTCATCCCATAAAAGAAAAAATGCATTCATCCGAAACCCCTTTTTGCACAACTTGATCAACTGGGTTTTGAATAATTAACAATTCAGTCAAGTCAAAACATTTATCCAATCAGCATTTTGAGTTAGCATCATTGTGCTATATCTTAACAATCTCCACCTTAGTACAATGATCCAATTTTCATCTACAGTTGTTACTTCCAATCATGACATCCTTAGCACCCTTATCAGATACTTAAATCAACAAGTATTGATGTTCTGCAAATTTAAACAGTCCAAAAACTTGTTTAATGGTAGTATCTACATCAGCAGGGTTGTAGTTAGTAGAAATATTTTCAAATTTCACAATTCCTTGTGAAATAACATCTCTTATAAAATGAAATTTAACATCAACATGTTTAGATCTATTATGTAGCACATGATTTCTTCTTAAATGAATGATATATTGGCTATGAGAATATAAGATGATATCTTTAATAAATTCAAATTCATTTAGCCCTTGTTTGAGCCTCTTTTTTCAAAATTCATTTTCAACCACACATTTTTCAATAAAATAATATTACATGCAAACCAAAAACTTTTCCTTAATTGTTAACCAAACATTTTTCTTCAATCTACTATTCAAAATGCATTCTTTCTTCCAAAATGGAGCTCAAACAAGGGCTTAGAAGGCCTTTTAACCATTAGCATCTATAACAACTATGTATTCTGCCTCAGGAGAGGATAAAGAAATGATCTTTTGAAGTTGAGATTTTCAACTTATACAGGAATTACATAAAGTATACATACAGGCAGAAGTGGATTTTGCATTATCTATATCACATGTATAGTCAAAATCAGTGTATCCTCTCAAAACAACACCATTAGATTGTTTTCAATATTGGATTCCAAAATCACAAGTTCCCTTAATGCACCTATGAAACCATTTCCTAGCTTTCCAATGAGCTTCTCCAAAATTGGACATATAGATACTCAATACACTTATTGAGTATGGCAAATTAGGCTTGGAGCAAACCATTAAGATATATGACAAACCCAACTGCATTAGAATATGGCGCTCTTGCCATTATCTTAAACTTTTCTTTAGATTTAGGACATTGTTCACTTGAAAGTTTGAAACGATTTGCTAAAGGTAAATTGACATTTTTAGAATTAGTCATAACAAACTTTTTTAGTAGTTACAAAATATAAGATTTCTCACAGAGACTTAGCCCCGTTTGGCTCCCTTTCTCTTTCAATTTTTTTCTTCTCACTCTTACTTTCAACCACACAATCTTTTATAAAATAATAGTACATATAAATCAATTTTTTTTCTTTTTCAACCATACATTCTCCAACAAAAACACTATTCCAAACATTAAAATTTGAAAGAAAATGGGCCAAACGAGGGCTTAGTGTGCTTTCTCTTCTATTTCTTTTAATTTCAATACCTAAAATCTT